TGAACCCGGGAGGCGGAGCTTGCAGTGAGCTGAGATCCGGCCACTGCACTCCAGCCTGGGTGACAGAGCAAGACTCGGTCTCAAAAAAAAAAAAACAAAAAAAAAGACCTTAACTCACATAAACCATGCAAGTGTTAAGCCTTTGGAAATATGCCGGAATGTGAAATATGTTCCCTCTTGGGTGGGGGAGTATGGTTGTTCAATTTTTGTTAACTACTTTATACTTGTAATTTTCCATTTTTGACCATGAACACATGACTTTGAGAGTCAGGAAAGCAAGGTGCTACCTCTCCTTCTTCCTTTCCTTTTATCAGGGCATCCCATGTCCCTGCCTCTGTTTTCTGTGTTGGGCCCTAGGCCTCTGGGCTCCGGTCCGAGTGGCCAGGGTGGCCAGCGTCTGCAGCAGTGGAAGATCTTGTACTCCATGTAGGATTCAGTGACTTGAGTCCGCTCTTCCTGCAAACACCACCTCCCCGCTGAGGGCGGGGAGAATGTGGAGAGAGCCTGAGGCAACAATTTGGATCCTCATAACTTTCAGACTTTGCTCCTAGTTTGACTTGTTTTCCAACTGGAGTTCTAATGGCTCAGGCTCCTGGAGCAGACTCTCCTTGCTATGAGATGATTGGTTATGTCAATATTCATGATGATCCTGTAAAATGAGTATCATCCACATTTTATAGGTAAGAGAACCGAGGCTCAAAGTAATTACATCAGTTTGGCTAAAATTGGCAGGGCGCGATGACTCACACCTGTAATCCCAGCACTTCGGGAGGCTGAGGCAGGTGGATCACTTGAGGTCAGGAGTTCGAGACCAACCTGGTCAACATAGCAAAACCCCGTCTCTGCTAAAAACACAAAAATTAGCTGGGTGTGGTGGTGAGCCCCTGTAATCCCAGCTACATGGGAGGCTGAGGAAGGAGAATCACTTGAACCCGGGAGGCAGAGCTTGCAGTGTGTCGAGATTGTGCCACTGCACTCCAGCCTGGGCGACAGAGCAAGACTCTGTCTCCAAAAAAAAAAAAAAAATTGGCTAAAATCCTACATTTGGTAATTGACAGAGCTGTGGCCAATTTGAGTCCTTTTGCCTTCAAATGCTGTACTTTCTGAAGCCTTCAGTATGTTTTTCAGAGACAAAAAGTTTTAATGTTCTAATTATAAAAGCAATACCTGATTATAATTGGACAATATGTAAAGTAGGAAAATCACTTTCATGTCATCGTAGCCAGTGTCCCTACTGCCTACAGGAGTTTGTATCTTGGTATTTTTCCAACATTATAATGCAAGCTTTGTTCCACAGTATCAGGAATTCTTTGAAGCTTTATATTCAATGGCTCCCTAATAATCCCTCAGCTGGATGTGCCATCATTTACTTAAACAATTCCCTATTGTAGGACCTTCCAGTTGTCTCCAATTCTTTACTGTCAGCAGCGTGCTGCAAAGAACATCGTTTTATTCAGAAAGCTTTTTCTGTTTGTCCCGTTTCCTTAAGATAGCTTCCCAGAAGTGGAATTACTGGTTCAAAGGTTATTAGCCTTTTTTTTTTTTTTTGAGATGAAGTCTAGCTCTGTCACCCAGGCTGGAGTGCAATGGTGCGATCTCTGCTCACTGCAAGCTCCGCCTCCCGGGTTCAAGCGATCCTCCTGCCTCAGCCTCCCAAGTAGCTGGGACTACAGGTGCCTGCCACCACACCCGGCTAGTTTTTGTATTTTTAGTAGAGACGGAGTTTCACCATGTTGGCCAAGATGGTCTCTATCTCTTGATCTAGTGATCTGCCGGCCTCGGCCTCCCAAAGTGCTGGGATTACAGGTGTGAGCCATGGTGCCTGGCCGCTATTGGCATTTTAACCCTCTTCATACATCTTGCCAAATTATTCCCCCAAAGGGTGTCACCGGCTACTTTTCCTGCCAGCAGCATGTGACAGTATTTTGAGGACAGCTTCCTACTCTGACCAGCTCTTTTTCTTCTCTCTCCAAAGCCTCATAAGAAGAATGGCTCAGAGCGTGGTGGAAGTCATGGAGGACTCAAAGGGGAAGGCCCAGGAGCACCTCCTGGCAAACGGAGGTAGGTGGGGCAGCCCTCTGACGTGGAGCGCAATCTCCCAGCTCCGTCTAGACCAGAGTCGCCCTCGCTGTGGCCACACAGCAATCACCAAGACGGCCCAGGCCTCAGTGGACGCCCTGGATTGACAGGCTGGGCAGAGGCTCTGCACTCACTTTTATTTATTTATATCATTATTATTTTGAGACAGTCTCCCTCTGTTGCCTAGGCTAGAGTGTGGTGCAATCTTGGCTCACTGCAACCTCCGCCCCCCGGGTTCGAGCGATTCTCCTGTCTCAGCCTCTTGAGTAGCTGGGACTACAGGCACCCGCTGCCACGCCCGGCTAATTTTTGTATTTGTAGTAGAGACAGAGTTTCACCATGTTGGCCAGGCTGGTCTCAAATTCCCAACCTCAAGTGATCTGCCCACCTTGGCCTCCCAAAGTACTGTGATTACAGGCATGAACTACCATGCCCGGCCAATTTTTATTATGATTATTTTCTGAGACTTGGTCTTGCCCAGGCTGGAGTGCAGTGGTGTGATCATAGCTCAATGCAGCCTCAACCTCTCAGGCTCAAGGGGTCCTCCCACCTCAGCCTCTTGCTCACCACCACGCCTGGCTAATAT